AAAAAATATATGACAAAAAGATAGCCAATAGCAAATCAAACAACTCTTCTTAAAACCCCGATTTCATTGGTTGACTCCTTCACATAGTTATAGCCTCACAAATTCATCAAAATGAACCAAAGAAATTCACTCCCAATTGTATGTTTATAGAAATAAAAATTGCTATGCTTTTTTCAATAAATAGGTACAAAATTGAAGTAAAAATTAAACATGGAAAAAGTAAGTCGAAATTTTAATTTTCTTGCAGTTGTGCTATTTTCAGTATGATTGTGTTGTTTTATTGATTTTATCTCAAAAGAAAATTTTTAGATCCAATTAAGAGGAAAAATACTGCTTAAGAGAGAAAAGCAATATTTCGAATAGTTTACGAGATATAGATATAGTATTATTCGAAAATTGTGCTAAAATCCACCCCCAGTCGAATATTTTAAAAATTAATTAAAAAAAAAAACTTAGCTAATAATGCAAAACCCAGCTAGGGATTTTCTTCCACCATCACAAGCTTCAAGATTTTGGGGGTCTCGATTGGTTCAAGATTTTAGTGCTGCACAGTGTTATGAGAAAATAATATTAAAAAGAAAAACAAATTGAACTGTGATAAAATACATAAACGCAAAATTAAGAAGCCGAAAAAAATCTTTAAAACCGTTTATATGATTTGTTCTCCATTCATTAATTTTTGGTGCTCTAACTACTCATCATTATTGCTGCTGTAATCTTTCATTCATCATTGTCGCTGCAGTAATTCTTCATTCACCAATGTTGTTGCTGTATTATTCATCGTTGCTGTATTCCATCCCGTTATCAAAATTGTTGCTGTTTCATCCACTCATCCATTTTATGTACCTATATAAGTCGTTAGTAGAAATAAGATCCCAGAGCAGGTTGCCATTTAAGAGTGTCTACCTAATGAATTAAACAGCTGAAACATTGCATTCTCTTAAAATGACTCTTAGGTGTGCATCCTCTCATACACTTATTTTATTGCAAATATCATATACTAACCTACTATAGTTTTGAAAATATAAATATTATTTAGATATTACGATATGTATTATAATAAATGCGCCTAGAAATGAATATGATATTCTAATTATTTCTACAGCAATAGAAGGTAACGTTATAGCTGATATGTAAGTGAGTAGTGTCTCTCTCTTTAGGGGTAACTAAGAAATTCAGAGTGTACAGGTTACCAAAGGCGTTAAAAAGGGCGGGAGAAATGCACTCCAGTGACACTTTTATCGGTCAGTTATAGATTTGTTGATATTTTTTCTTTCTCATGCCTAGCCTAAATTGCTTTTGTTTCCTTATACATAATTAGGTGGTTTTATTGATTATTGGTATGAGAAACTCTAATGTTTCGAGTCGATAACCCGGGTCAAGTAACCTCTCCACGGCAGAGCTAGCCGACAAAAATTGAATCATGCCCTTGACTGGTATTTATCGATGAACTTTTAAACATGTATATTCCCCAGTAGTGACACGCTCGTAACAACAGCAAACCCCAGCTGATTTGATTCCAACGTAATACTAGTGTCAATATGAATTTGACAAATTATGTTTTTAAAAAACACCTAACAGGTAAATTGGGAATGCATACAATTTGAAATTGTTCTTTATTAATGTTAGGGCAACCCTGCCAATCAGCATAGATCTGGCATCATTGTTTCGTGCTACACACTAATACAAGAACACATCTCATTCAGTCTTGTTCATTCATTCACTCACATAGAGTCTAAACGCAACCATAGAGTCAGGAGTCAGCGGGGTACTCTTTCGCCGGCGTGAAAACCAAACGAAAGAGTTAGAGTCTAAACGCAACCATAGAGTCTAGAGTCAGCGACAGTCGTTTGCCGTGTGTTTCGTATTGGCAACGGGAAATCGCGACGGCTGACGTTCGCGTCTAGCGGCATGACGCTAGAATAGATTTTATTCATTTTTGCTCAGCGTCATACTCAAAATTTCTCTCTTGCTCTCAATTGAGTTGCCATATTTTAGGTAAAAATCAACAGTGCTACCAAATTTCAATGAGAATTTTTATCAAAACATATGGCAGTGCTGTTAAAAAAAACAAATATTTTCAAAGATTGTGGACGTTTTTTAACGAATTAATAATAAAATGGAACAAAAATAATTTTTTCAATAATTTTATCCAAGATCCTTGACATTATTGTTTATTAAATAATAGATTGATTTTGGTTTGCACAACGTAAAATTTTCTGTCAGAAAATAAAAACAAATAATTGACATTTTGTGCCGCTAACGCCAACTCTTTCGTTTGGTTTTCACGCCGGCGAAAAAGTATGACGCTGACTCGTGACTCTCTGGTTGCGTTTAGACTCTTAGCGTTAGCGGTACAAAATGTCAATTATTTGTTTTCATTTTCTGACAGAAAATTTTACGTTGTGCAAACCAAATTCAATTTATTATTTAATAAACAATAATGTCAATGAACTTGTGGAAAATTATTTTTTCCATTTTATTTTTAAAATTTTCTTCCATTTTATTATTAATTCGTTAAAAAACGTCTACATGTTTGAAAATATTCTTTTTTTTTTAACAGCACTGCCACTGAAATGTTGGTATCACTGCTGATTTTTCCTAAAATATGGCAACTCAATTGAGAGCAGGAGAGAAAATTTGAGTATGACGCTGAGCAAAAATGAATAAAATCTATTCTGGTGTCAAGCCGCTAGACTCGAACGTCAGCCGTCGTTCCCGTTGCCAATAAGAAATACACGGTAAACGACCGTCGCTGACTCATAGTCTCTTCGCGTACGAGTTGTCTTAGAGTCTAAACGCAACCAGAGAGTCACGAGTCAGCGTCATACTTTTTCGCCGGCGTGAAAACCAAACGAAAGAGTTAGCGTTAGCGGTACAAAATGTCAATTGTTTGTTTTCATTTTTCGACAGAAAATTTTACGTTGTGCAAACCAAAATCAATTTATTATTTAATAAACAATAATGTCAAGGAACTTGGATAATATTATTGAAAAAATTAATTTTCTTCCATTTTATTATTAATTCGTTAAAAAAAACGTCCACAATCCTTAAAATAATTGTTTTTTTAACAGCACTGCCATATGTTTTGATATAAATTCTCATTGAAATTTGGTAGCACTGTTCATTTTTAACATAAAATATGGCAACTCAATTGAGAGCAAGAGAGAAATTTTGAGTATGACGCTGAGCAAAAATGAATAAAATCTTTTCTAGCGTCATGCCACTAGACGCGAACGTCAGCCGTCGCGATTTCCCGTTGCCAATAAGAAACACACGGCAAACGACTTTCGCTGACTCTAGACTCTATGGTTGCGTTTAGACTCTTACAGTCTGGTCTAAGGTATATTTAATAAGGTAGCCGCGTCGGCCCAGCTGTAATGTTGAACCAAAAAATTAAAGAACAAAATTATAAATGAAAATCTCCGAATATCGAAGAGCTTTTTTGGCAAAACTTTTATTAACATTTTCAGCAAGAATTTGTATAAAAAATCTTGTCAATCTGTTTGTTTTGGCAAAATATTTTTACATATCAAAATACAACAACCGATGTTTGTTGTAGAAATTCGCCGATGCGGCTACCTTGTATATCTACCTTGGTCCTGTCGTAGCACGTTCAACATTTTGTAACGTATTTTAGTTTCCAGAATAAATCTTGCCTAAGTTTGTTAAATCACAAAAAAGTCTTTTAATCACAACATAAAAGCAATCAAATCGCATTTTTCTCCACGCAAAAGCACAACAACTGGCGACGAGGACGGTGAATAAAGAAATACAATTCTTTGATTCCAATTCATCCCAACAACAGGCGACGAAAACGGCGAATTAAGAAATAAATTTCTTTAATTTCAATTCATCCCAAGCAAAATCAACTGCTCAGAAATATCAAGCGAGAACATCGTAAAATAACTAGCTGAACAACAAGCAGCTATGCATCTTCAATCGCAGTTACTTCAACAACTAGCAAACCTACAACAGGCACAGAGCACTGGAAACTCCAAAGATGCAACATTAAGTCCCAAAGTCGCGTTACTCTGAAGAAAAATGTCAAACAGTGTTCACGACAGATTCAGAAACTATGTTTTACCCAATAATCCAACAGAAATGTGTCTCAAAGACACCCTGGAGAAACTTAACAAATTATTCGGTAAAGTAGAAACATAAGTGTCACAACGCTACAAGTGTTTACAATTGATGAAACTTGAAGGAGAAGACTATAAGGAATACGCCGGAAGGGTCAACTTACAGTGCGAACTCTTCAAGTTAAATCAAATGCAAGTGGATCAATTCAAGTGTCTAATCTACGTCTTAGGATTAAAATCCAGCAAAGACAACGACATTCGCTTACGTATACTTAAACTGCTAGACGACGCAAAAGACTCCACAACTCTCGACACACTTGTAGATGAAACTCAACGACATGGATGGATCTCAAAACAGACAACACACTGATCGAGCATCAGCCGCAATCAATTTGCGCAGTCAAGAAATTCTCCAAGAATAAGAATCCTTCACACAAAATATTGTACCTTCAAAACACCCTGCTGGTTTTGCGGAGAAATGCATTACACAAAATATTGTACCTTCAAAACACACAAATGCTCAAAGTGTCAACAGACAGGTCACAAGGATAACTTTTGTCACAGTGCAAAAAGAGGTAAATCCACAGACAAGAACATTGTCAAATCGGACAAGGCAAAATACAACGCCAATGCAGTTTTCTCATCGAAGCAACTCAAATTGGAGCAATTGCGAAAATACACAACCGTTGAGATAAACAACAAGAAAGTTCGATTACAAATCGACACAGCTTCAGATATTTCAATAATATCACAATCAACTTGGGAAACGATAGGTCAGCCTCACCTATCAGAAACCAATGATACAGAAACCGACGTCAATTCAAACAGCATCAGAATTCTCGGAAATGCAACATAACGGTATCAGACAAAACGCTAACTTTACACTGCTACGTAACGGACATCGATCACCTAAACATAATGGGCATCGACTGGATACAAAGTTTTAACCTTTGGGACACACCAATTTCAGCTTGGTGTCGCCAAATATCAACCGACGAATACTTATCTAACCTGAGAAACAAGTATCAAACAGTTTTCGACAACAGCAGTTTAGGTCTCTGCACCAAAACTAAAGTCCACATTAAACTTCTACCAGATGCAAAAGAAGTTTTCATTGCAAAACGTCCAGTTCCATACACCGTACGAGCAGATATCGAAACAGAGCTAGATAGACTTGAAAAAGCAAATATCCTCACACCAGTCAATTCTTCGAAATTCGCAGCGTCAATAGTCGTGAGCAGAAAGAACGGTAAAATCAGAATTTGTGCAGGCTACTCTACGGGCCTCAACAATTCAATTGAACCAAACCAATACCCTTTGCCCACTGCCGAAGAAATTCTTGCCGACTGTCACAATTGCATGATATTCACACATTTAGATATCTCCGACGCATACCTTCAAGTGGAAATCGACGATCAAAGTAAGGACTTACTTACAATAAACACCCACAAGGGTTTATACAAATTTAATCGCCTCACTCCAGGAATCAAATCCGCACCAGGAGCCTTTCAGCGAATCATGGATGAGCTATGCACAGGCATCCAAGGAGCTCGAGCATACATAGACGACATAGTCTTGGCGAGTACATCACTAAATGATCAGAAGACTAATCTTAACCTGTTATTACAGAAAATACAAGATTATAGTTTTAAACTCAAATTCGAAAAATGCCAATTTTTCAAACCATCAATCAAGTATCTTGGTCAAATCATTGATAAGGACGGCATACGACCCGATCCAGACAAAATTCTTGCAATACAGAATATAAAGGTCCCAGAAAATATTTCTCAGGTGCGATCTTTACTCGGTTCCATAAACTACTATGGAAAATATGTCAACAACATGAGGAAAATCAGGAAACCACTAGATGACCTCTTAAAAAAGGAACACAAGGTCCAAAGAGTGTCAACAGTCTCTAGACGAATGTAAACGCATTCTGACATCTGATTTACTACTCACTCATTACGACCCGAAACTGCCAATACATATTGCAGCAGACGTATCCTCACATGGTATCGGTAATATACCATACTTACCCAGAGCATACCATCAAAGCCATTCATCACATCTCAAGATCATTAACTCCCAATGAGAAAAATTACAGTCAAATCGAAAAGAAAGGACTAGCTTTGGTTTTCGCCGTACAACGTTTTCACAGAATGATCTTTGAAAGAAAATTCACTCTACATACCGACCACAAACCACTACTCTCCATATTTGGTTCCAAAAAAGCTATTCCAGTCTACACTACAACGTTGGGCTCTAATCCTCCTTACCTACGATTTCGACATAAAGTATACCAAGACAAACGATTTCGGACATGCAGACGTACTGTCCAGATTGATAAGCGCACATGAAAAACCATAAGACGAGTGCATCATAGCTTCAATCAATCTAGAAAACGACATGAGGTATCACATCACAGACGCTGTATCTACACTCCCAGTCAGTTTCAAAATGATACAGGAAGAAATAAAGAAGGACACAACCTTACAATCGATTTCAAATTATGTTAACAACGGCTGGCCCGAACACAAAAACAACATCGATTCATTTATTCTGCCATATTTCAACAGGCAAGAGTCAATATCAATAACAGATGATTGTCTCATGTTGAACTCTCGAATAATTGTACCAGAATGCTACAGAAAACAAATTCTCAAGCAACTTCATCGATGTCACATAGGAGCAGAAAGAAGCAAAGCCATAGCTCGAAGCTACATATACTGGCTAATATAGACAAGGACATTGAATCATACATAAAAAGGTGCAACAATTGCCAAATAAACGCAAAAAGTCCAATTAAAACTAACCCTTGTCCTTGGCCAACAACAACACGCGTTCTCGAACGCATCCACATCGATTATGCAGGTCCTATAAATAACATTTATTACCTCATTATTGTGGACTCATATTCCAAATATCCTGTCATATTGGAAACACAATCAACCACAACTGTGGCAACATTAAAGTTATTAACAACTTTTGTTTCACAATTTGAGAATCCAGAACAAATCGTATCGGACAACGGAACGCAATTTGCCTCAGCAGCATTCGAAAATTGGTGTTCTCAATGAGGAATCAAGCACACGCGCATTGTTCGATATCATCCAAACTCCAACGGTCAAGCGGAAAGATTCGTCGACACTCTTAAACGATCTTTAAAAAAATCCGAGGGAGAGGAGACGCCATCAAATGCATTTTTGGAAGTGTATCGTTCTACTGACTGTCACCAGCGGAATCATTCCTAGGCAGAAAAATGAGAACGGTCTTCGACTTAATCACAAAACCTCCTCCAGCGAGTCAAGAAAGGAATTCCCAGACGGAAAAACAGTACAACCGAAAACATGGTACTATCAAAAGACATTTCAACCCTGGAGACCTTGTCTACGCCAAAAACTTCAAAGGCAACAAAAGCTATTGGGTCCCAGGAGAAATCATCGAAAAAGTAGGAAACGTCACCTACAACACTCTCATTCAATTGAACAACCGTCATATTCTCGTGCGATCCCACACAGATCAACTAAGATCCAGAGAAGCCGATACCGATGATTCACACGAGCAAAACGGAAATCTTCCTCTACAGATACTATTAGAAGACTTCAATATCAGCCTACCAACAGAAGATTTCTCAACTCCACAATCATCAATGGTTCCGGTCCCACAAAGAATTACGTCATTCAGTCACTCACATAGTCTCTTCGCGTACGAGTTGTCTTACAGTCTTGTCATAGCACGCTCAACATTTTGTAACTTATTTTAGTTCCCAGAATAAATCTTGCCTATGTTTATTAAATAATAAAAAAGTATTTTATTCACAACATAAAAGCAATCAAATCGTATTTTTCTCCATTTCAAAACAGAAAAACTGCAGTAGCTGCAAACTTGGCCTATGGCGTGTTTGTCCATCTGGGCTCTTAACATACTCGCCAAGAACTTTCTTTTCTCCGTCTAATATAAAATTGCATTATATACTATTTCATGTTATAAATTTACAGTTAATTAAATAAAAGTAACGTTAGAATATATTGTTGTTTATTAATTCATGTTAAACATTCAATAAAACTAAAGTTTATCCGAGCTTAAAATCTAACATCCCATAGGAATAACAAAATTGTAAAATTCTTCAATACAGTTAATTTGTTGTAGTATAAAATTTCGATTTTATAAGATGTTCGTAAATAGGAATTTGTAATTGCAAGTAGTATTCAGATTCATACAATGAAACCTCATTTAAATTTGTATCAATTCGAGCGGAAGATGGCTGATGGTTATGGCGCTTGTTAATGACAGCAATTAGATATTTTTTAGCTACAGCTCTGTGCAAAGCTAAACGTATTCCCGACTCGTCAAATTTATTATTTGGTTTAATGCCATGCAAACGTACACGTAAAGTGCGTTGAGGCAATCTCAATATATCTGGGGGACACTCTCGAACACATTTCGTAGGAAGAGTTTCACTATTCAGGTAGTCGACATATAAAACATCAACCGTTTTGGATACTTGATTGGTAGAACGAATGACAGCTCTATACCACTTTTTGTCTTTCGAATAGCATGCTAGACATGGTGTACATGGATTCAAGTTCGTGAGTGGTCGTGCTGATTTCGCTGCATTTCTTATAGCTATCTGCATGTTGACGTCATGATTTTTGTAATCATTTGTAATAGGGATTATTTGAAGTACTGTTGGTGAAATGATTTTAATAACTCTACATCTAAACTTTTGTTGTGCGCCAGGAAAGTGTGGTGCCTTGAATGCTTCGATTCCGCTAAAATGTGTGAAAATTGTTGAAGTGTCGTTTGGGTAAAATTGCTCATATTCCGATTCAATGTCCTGCAAAATGAAAATAATTTTTTCAAAGTATGTGATAAAAATTAGTAGATCAATACTAACGACATCTTCTTGAAATGAGATCCGTTGCTCTAATTGTTGACCTATATCATCTTGTTCGTCTGCCTTTATGTCATCGGTAGCGGAATGCCAGTAATTCATTGCAAAAGTATGGCTCATTTCAATAACATCTTCATCGTCGCCATCAGCAATACTAAATGATTTGCTTTCGAGATCCGTTTTGCTGGCATTACTTAAATAATCCACATCAAATTGTATTCCATCCTTCATCAGTTGTGTGTAATCATTATGGTCGAACATACGCTTTTTTGTCGGTGGTGTTATAAAACTATTTTTGTATTCATTTCCTGGATTTGCGATGTTATTATGACGTTTGTCTAAACGATCGATTAAATTGCTTATATGATCCTCTTTGTTCTGGGGTAGAGTCATCCACTTATTATCGTCATTAGTCATTGAATAATGGTTTTCATTCAATTTATGTGCATCGAAATCCTGAAAATATTTTGCATTGTTTGGTTACAAAGCAATAAAGAGAACACAAAAAATTTAAGAGAACACAAAATAAAATGGCTTTCTCTTTGTAAACTTTTTACTCGAAAATTTTGAACAAGTAAAAATGGTAAACAGGTATACCCATACATTTATTGAAATAAATGTTATGAAAAAAATTAAAAAAACCAATGAGAAAAGAAGTATATGCCTTTGACCAGAACGGAAGGAACATCATAACCTAATAAAGTACAGAATAATGGACAGATATGACTTGAACAGCAAATAGAAGCACAAGTTATACCCTTCAAGGAGAAGAACATTTAAACAGGAAAATAAATAGTGGGAACACTTGAATGGTAAAACGGAAGGTGTTCGGTTTATTTTTCAAAATGCTAATTACAGTTACTTCCGTTGACTAGAACGGTACCGTCTCTAAGCCCAAATCTGTATGAATATTGACTGTTTCAGTGATGACCCACCCTTTTACAATACTAAATGTTATAATCTTAAAATATCATTATATTCCATTCTACATGAAGTTATGTCTGTGGAAAGGTTAAAGGCTCCAACTGATGACAATTTTGAGGTTTTGCCTACCATAAGACCTGAAACCATCAAGAACAATCATCTTTTATACATATGATTTAGTTATTACTAGCAAAGTGCCCGCTACTTCGTATGCGGAAAAGGAATACAAAAATATTTCATATGGTATCGTAAATACTGTAAATTAGTTTTACTATAGTTTGCGATTTGGTACTCTTCATACACAAAAGCACTATTTTCCAAAATCTCTCTTACTTCCATTAAACAGATTAAAACCAGTAAGGAAAGTAGAAAAGTACCCCATGCAAAATTTCGTGTAAGTCGAAAGATATATAGGGACTTTGGTACACCATTTATATTAAATCGGACGATGTTATATATGGGAGCTATATCTAAATCGGAACCGATTTTCACGATGTTTAACACACATCGTTCTAGACGTAATTCAGCCCGCTGTGCCTAATTTCGTGTAAATCGAAGGATATATAGGAAGTTTGGTGCACTATTTACCTAAAATCGGACTAAAATGTATATGGAAACTATATCTAAATTTCAACAGATTTTCCCCAATTTCTATAGGGTTCGTCCTTGGGCCAAATATGTGACGTATGCCAAATTTCATCCAATTCGGATCATAAATGCGACCTGTACTTTGTTTAACATGCACAGACAGACGAACAGACAGACGGACATGCATAAATCGACATAAAATGTGATTCTATGCATATAATGTGATTCCGTTGCCGAAATCGAAATTTAGTGCATTTGCTATTCTATTTACTATTCGTACAAATCAATTCGAGTTTCCATAGTTATCTCTATAGCTAAATACTACACTTCAACAGTAATCTAAATTCCAAATCGCAGGATCCAACCAAATCCAAATGGTTCCAAATATAGTACCATCATACTTATAAGTAAGAATTTCTAAAACTACATCAATCTAACTCTCCAACAGTAATCTTAATTCCACCAAAGTCCAAATTTAGTACTTTTCGTACTCATAAGTACGAATTTCCAAATATACCTTAAT